CAGTTCTTTCCTCTGTTACAGGCTCTGCAGCCCCCTTTTCTGGAGATTCAGTTCTTTCCTCTGTTACAGGCAGTTCAACCTCCTTCTCTGGAATATACATGCAAATTCACATGAAAGATTAACAGTACAAAAGGAAACATATATTCAAAAAATACTGACAAGTAAAAAGAAAACGGTATTGTTCTCTGTACAGGCAGTTCGACCTCTTCTCTGGAAGATTCAGGTCTTTCTTTTGTTACAGGCAGTTCAGCCCTCGGAGATTCAGTTTCTAGTTCTTTTCCTTGTTACAGGCAGTTCAACATCCTTCTCCTACAAGACTCAAGGTAATTTCCTCTGTTACAGGCAGTTCAACGCTCCTTCTCTACAGATTCAGGTATTTCTTCTGTTACATGGGCAGTTCACCTCCCCTTCTCATGGTGATTCAGCGTATTTCTCTGTTAACAGGCAGTGCGACCTCTCCTTCTCTGGAGAAAATCTCCTTAAAAAAAAAAAGAAGGGGGCAGGAAAAGAAAGAATGAGATTCCCAAGGATGGGAAGGGGCGGGGAGGGCGGGGGACGTCGCCCAACCTGGCCTGTAAAACAGAAGACTACCTGAAATGCACCAGAAGAAAGGAGCGTTCGAACCCTGGCCCTGTAGCACGAAAAGAAATACCTGCAATCTGTGAGAGGAGTTGAAAACTGCACTGGTAACAGCAGGAAATAACCTGAATCCTGTAAGAAGGAAAGGAATGTTGACTGCCTGTAACAAAAGGAACAAGAACTCGAATCTCCGCGAGGAGCTGAAAACTGCTGTAACAAAAAGCAGACCTGAATTCCAAACGAGAAAAGGAGGTCTCGCGCAAACTGCCTGTAACAGAAAAGAAATACCTGAATATCCAGAATGAAAGGAGGTTGAAACTGCTGTCTAACAGAAAAGAAAGAACTGAAAATCTCCCAAGAAAAAAGGGGGCTGCAAGCCTGTAAAACAAGAGGAAAGTACTGAACAATCCCCAGAGAAAAGGCGTTCTGAACCTGCGCCTGTAAGCAGAGGAAACGAAACTGATCTCCAGAGAAAAGGGGGCTGCAAGCTGTAGCAAAAAGAACGGGATGAAACCTTTTAACATCCCTCCTGGGTGTTGCCCCACGACGAACCCGTATGCAAAAGCTGAAGAACGAAGATAATCTTTTGAAGATTAACAGAGAGGACTCCAACCTAAAGACGCTCCGTAGCAAGAAGTAACACATGTTAAACATCGCGCGTCCTTCATTCATGAGGAACATGTACGTAGTTGTAGAAGAGAGACGTCATCAACATTAGTTTATAAAGAGCGTGGAATGCAACCCATGTACAGATAAATGTTGATGAAGAACTCCTAAAACTCGCAAACCAGGCATACCGCAGGGAGAGTCTCTGGAAAGGAGTGTGTCTGAAAGTACCAGCAATGGCGCAGAATTTCAAGATAGTTTCCTGAAACAGCACGTAGGGCGCGCTGCTGCGCGGAAGCGCGGGAGAAACAGAATCTCTGAGAAGGACGTTGCGAATCCGTGAAGAGGAAAGAAAAGAAGAGCAAGAGTCTCCTGCATAAGGGGTTGTAGTTGGCTGAAGCAGGAAGGAAAGAGAGCAAAATCTTCGCCTCAGCAGGTAAGTAGCTACTTGAAAAGCAAAGGAAGAGAGGCGTCGAATCTTCCTAATCGAAAAAAGAGGCTGGCACGAGCGGAAGAAAAAAACCCAGAAAGAAAATCTCCTGATGAAAAGCCTGTGGTAGACTAAGGAAAAGGAATAGCAAGAGTTCCTGATCAGGCAGCTGCTGTGCCTGTGAGAATACCGTTGCAAAAGCCCCAATAGCAGACATGTCAAAAAATCTTTTGAAGCGAAACCTCTTTAAACTGTAACATGGATTCAAACGCAAAAAAATCGAGCCTGAGAAAGGCTGAAAGATGTTTTTAAAATGTCGGAACTTATAAAACAGAATTCCCGGCGAGGAAAAAGGTCGTCCGTTAAATTTGAGTACTAACACTGAGCTGAATCACCAAAAACAAAAAGCAGGCCGATGGAACGAATCTTGCTTGATAGATTTGCCATTTAATATATATTCGTCAGAACATGTACCAACAGAATCATTCAACAAACAAAACGCATAAAATGAGTCGCCAATGAAAAGCAAGAAGTGGTAAAGGATAGTAGGTGAAGCTAAAGGAGTTAGCACACGAGAAAACGCTGAAATTGGCAATGCTCTGTGGCTTAAAATCTGTTGAGGGTCATTAACTTGACAACGAGATAAAGAACCTAAATTGAACAACAACATGCAAAAGAAGACTGTCGTTATAAGTAAGCCAGAAAGTGAGGAAAGACGATCAGTGACAAAAAATGTAGTGCAAGATGCTGGGTGGTGATGGAGGTAAGGAGGTAGTCGCCCGATGTATTTCAGATAATCTGAAGAAATCTCCAAGAGCAAAGAGAAGACATAAAGTCAGAGCCAGGACCCATGCACGTGGTAACAGATGGCAAGGAGGCAAAGATGGACTTCGGAAGTCAAAAGTCAGTAGATCAGATCAATTGCTTGAGAAAGTGATCTAGATCCAGAGTATTGAATCATCGTGCAAAGCAAGAGTAGTTGATCAGAGGCAGAAAATGACAGTGAAAGGAAGTGAGGAATCTTATATATGAGAGAGATAAGGACAACTGTAGTACTCACCGAAGAGGAACAGGAGGGCAGAGTCTCGCTAAGGGGTCTGTAGTACCCGAAGGGAAAGAGATGTGGAAATCTCCTGAGGGGGTTGTAGTACCTGAACAAGAAGAGAGGGCAGCGTCTCCTGAGGAGGCTGTAGTACCCCGAAGAGGAGGAAAGGGCAAAATCTGCCGAGAAGGAGGCTGTAGTACCTAAAGAGGAAGAGTTGGTAGAACCCCCTGAGAAGGAGGTTGTAGTAGCTTGAAGAGAGGAAAGGGCAGACTCCTGAGAAGGTGGCTGTAGTACCTGAACAGATGAAGCACAGGAACGCCAAGTTACCCCTGAACAGAATTACTTTCAACACTGTGGGTTCAAAGATGATCACTACAACCATCCATTGATGAGATTACATCTCCGGAGACGAGCAGACAGTAGACTTTCCTTCCTGTGAAAGGAATATACTATGCCTTAGATGAAAGAGAGCAGGAATTCCGAGAGGAGCTGTAGTACCTTATGAAGGAGGGCAGAAGAATCTCCTGAGACGAGGCTGAAATACCTGTTTGAGGAACGAGAGGGCAGCATTCCTGAGAAAGGTTCTGAGTACTGAAAGAGGAGAGTTGGTTGAATCTCCTGAGAAGGAGATTGTACTAGCTGAACAAGAAGAGAGACGCAGAATCTCCCGAGAAAGAGAACTGTAATACCTGTAGAGGAAGAGTGGTAAAACCCCTGAGAGGAGGTTGTAGTAGCGGAAGAGGAGGAAAGGGCAGAATCCCTGAGAAGGGCTGTAGTACCTGAAGCAAGATGAAAGCAACAGAACATCTCAACAGCCAAGGAGAGTGAGTTATCCCTGACAGAATTAACTGTCACACCTGTGTTTCAAAGTGATCACACAACATCGCATTGATGAGATTCCAGTCTCGCGGAGACTGAGCAGGCAGTAGACTCTCCTGTGAAGGAATATACATGATGCCTGTAGATGAAAGGAGAGCAGATTCCCGAGGAAGGAGGCTGTACGTACCTTATGAAGAGAAGAGCCGAATCTCCTGAGAAGCTTCTAGTACCTGAAGAGGAGAAGTTGTTGAATCTCCTGAGAAGGAGATTGTACTAGCCTGAACAAGAGGAGACCAGAATCTCCTGAGAAAGAGACTGTAGTACCTGTAGAGAAGAGAGGGCAGAATCTCATAAGAAGGAGGCTGTCTACCGCTAAAAGGAAGAAAGGGGTAGATATCTCATGAAGAAGGAGGCTGTACACTAAAGAAGAGGAGTGGGTAAAATCACCGGGTGAGGAAGGATGTAGTACATAAAGAGAAGGAGAGGGCAGAATTTCCTGACAGGTTCTAAAGGCTGACGGTAAAGAGACTTGCAGAATCTTCGACAAGGGAAGTATAGTACCTTGAACAGGAGGCAGACCAGAATCTCTTGAGGAGAGAGTAGCAGAGCTACAAGAAGAAGAGAGGGGTGGAAATCTTCTGAGAGGGGGTTGTAGACCTGAAGAAGGACGAAAGGGCAGAATCTCCTGAAATGGCGCGCTGTGGTAGCTGAAGAGGAAGAGAGGATAGAAAGGCCTGAAAAGATGTTGTAAGTACCGAAGCACGTCAGGAGGTATGGAATCTCCTCCAAAACAGGTTCCTGAAGAGAAACAAAGAGCAAAATCTCCCCGTGGAGGATGTAACACCTGTAAACAAGGAGACGTAAATCCGGAGAAGGAGGCTGTAGCATCTTGTAGAGGAAAGAGGGTAGAATCATTACAAACCAACCATAAATGAGTCGCCTGAGCACCAGAAGTGGTAAAGGATAAGTAGTGAAGCTAAGGTAGTTAGCACACGAGGAACCTGAAATTGCATGATCTGTGGTTTTTAACAATCTGTTGAGGGCAGTTACTCTGACAAAGGGGATAACAGAAGCCTGAAATTGAACCAACATCAAAGAAAAACTTGTCGTTATAAGTAGCCAGAAAGTGGAAGAAAGAGATAGTGCACAAACATGTTAGTGCAGATGCTGGTGGTGATGAGAATAGGAAGGTAGTCCCGATGTATTTCAGAAATTAGAATCGCCAGAGCAAGAGAAAATAAAGTCAGAGCAGGACGCCATGCACGTGCTGGAAGATGGCAAGGAGGCAACAGATGGATTCTGGGAAAAGTCAGTAGAAGATCAATTGCTTGAGAAAGGTGATCTAGATCCAGAGATTGAATCATCATGCAAAGCAGAGGTAGTTGATAGAGGAGAAATAGACAGTGAAGGAAGTGAGGAATCCTATATAGAGAGAGATAGGACTCCTGTAGTACTACCTGAAGATGAACAGAGGGCAGAGTCTCCTAAGAGGGTTATGAAGTACA